TACTAGCTCTCTGTGAGAAGCGAAAGCACTCGGAAACAGTTTGAGTGATAGCATGTTCCGACAGCAGTTACTCGCTCCCTTCTTTAATGGCTTCTTACGAAGCAAGGTAATTGCGGGTTTGGCTTCCCGATGTGCGCCGGTACCAGTTTATCATCATAACGAATGAACAAAGGGCAAAACTGATTGTGCCATCGGGCCATGCCTCCGGCGCCGCACAACAAATCGCAGCAAAAACATATGACTGCAGCGTATCAGCGGGTGTGTCGCTACTAAGCACTAGTGACATCTGTTTTCGTTGTTTGCGCACGCCATTTTGATGCCAAACATTGATCAATCGCATCCTGCCATTTCACTATTATTATCTTTGTTATAATTGTGCCATGAGGATCAAATGTTTTCCTGATGGTGCAGTTTGAATTTCACAGAGCCTGGAATGTTTTGATCTCTGGCACAAACTCACAGAGGCGAAAGCACTTCGAATTGACTCGAATGCGGAGGGGATACTGTTGGGAAGTTCTAAAAGGAAACTGAAGAATGGTTCTAACTCCTTCGCATATGCCTCTACTAAGTGACCCTCAAACCAAAATACGAAAGGCAGAACAACAAACAACTTTTAACCGTTTTGAATACAATAAGACCTTTTTTGAAATTTTCGATATAAAACTAATTCGTTTTATTGTGTTCAAGCATATAATACCTCCAGGGAGTCAGATACTGATTTCATAGTAGTCAACGCAATAAAGTAAAAATTATGTACTTGCATAGCTCATCAGATATCACTGCGCAATTTCATCCGTACAGAGCGGCAACGGAAAGGGAAACGGCCCACAAGTTTTGTCCAGTTGTGGTGCTGACTTAATGTGCCGAAACATTCCTGTTCGTTCAATCTTTTAATATAAGTTTATGTAATTTTATATGTTTTTCATATATACATATATTCATAATTAATAGCTCTATCTACTTTTGTGATAAAAATTCACCGAGTGTTTTCCAGTTGCTTCGACTAGGGCTGTGTGTATAATATTGTATTTGCACCAAGCTGTTTGCATCAGAAGCTGGTGTGCGATTATGGTAATACATGTAAAGGTAGCACTTGCGTCTTTTCTAGCCAGGGTTCATTTTGCGTTCTAAATGAATTGGCATTTTTGCAAAACTTCGCAGTGGGGATGTGCTACGGTAGGAATAACGTAGGCGCAAAAAAAGGCAGGAAATTTAAAAATTATTTCTTTCATGCACGGAGTAACTTCCACATATTTTGCAGTCATAATTTTCGAAGTGAAATCTTGGAGTGGCGGAAAACAATCGTTTAACTTGATTATGTGCGTGCAAAATGCAAAAGAGCTCTGCTACACCAATCGAAACTACGAAGGAGACGAAAACAAAGTGTGTTTTTGATACATATTTGAACACTTATTTTTCAGCAGACCTAATATGCTAGCATTCCATCAAAAACAAAAAAAGTAATAGTTATTTCCATGGATTCAATCAGGCTGAACAGATAAAAAAGCAAAAATCTCGATTCTACTTTTTCCTTTCAGAAATTTACCTGAAACATGGAAATGCAGCAAATTCGACTGCGGCTGCTGACTTTGAAGTCTCAATATCGCTGAGATGCACCACACGCTTAAGCGCTGGTATGCCAGGCCTCCTGCCCTAGGCTGTTTGTTTCAACTGCTTCCCGCTAAACCTATTAAGTATGCTGGGTTTTCCTCCAGAATATGTTCATTCTTGTCTCATCTGTTATTCTAATAAACTTTTTTTGTAAAAATTCTTGCAGTATTTTCCGCGGACTGTCTGATCAGAAATTCTAATCCTGGCGCTGCAAACAGACCGATTCAGTCTGAAATTTCCACCCTGTGTTTTCGGGAAACTTCCATAATACGGTTTTCTTTTTTTTGTTTTTGGAATTGTTTTTGTGCGGAAAAATGTGAGCGGGCTGATTATGCACAATCCCGGAGACGGGAAGGGCAAGGGAAAAGGACGCTGGGGACAGATGGAAGTGGATGGTAGCGAAGAGAAGCAAGATGGAGTAGGTGAGCGCCGTACAACTGGTTCGTTTGGTGAGCTACGATTCTGC